CTAGAGTAATTGGCTGGGATGCAGAAGGCCTAAAACCGTGGACGTTATGCACAGTTGGGGTGGAGGTGGTTATCTTACCGAACCGCTGCTTGCGACCTTTTCTTGGCGACACCCACAGATAGATTACTTTTAGATATGGACATAGTCGATTTAATGCGCCAGATGAAATGGTGACGATCCAGTTCGGAGATTTAAGGCCCCGCCGATAGGACTCGTTTCTACAAGTTTGGGGTATTAAACTTCGCCTATTTTCCAATGTTGAAACTACGCTTTTAATGTCAAATGTAGGGATTGTCGGCCATTGTAGGTTGGTATATTGGTGATAAGCGTGGAAAACCCCCAGGCTCTGTCCAGAATGTGCGAATATCAGCCCCAAACGGGAGAGATTTAAAAAACCCGCCCACGGCCGTCTTGGTGGTACTAAAGGTTATATTTCATTACATTTTATGCTCGTTTCCAGTTTACAGGTTGTTGTTTTCGGAAGCATTTTCACATGAAACGCCAATAACATTCATCTATTATTCTAGAGTTTACAGTACAATTTTAATGAGCGAAGAGCGTTGGTGTTTCAAACTGTGGAAACTAGTACCTACATTGAGTTATATTTTATTCCGAAGAAGGTCCAGAAATTGTTTGGAGATCTATACGAAAAATTTCAATTCATAAACTGACGTCGTAAAATTGAAAATTCGTATTTAGAACTATCAAAAAATTATAAAAGCACCAGCTGACTTTTTCGGTGGATAAATTATAGTTTATAGTGACGGATCGATCAATAAAAATTCCAATTAGAGCTCTATTAATAACTCATATTGCGAAAGCGTAAAGCTGTTTGATAGCAGACGATATAAATAGAAAGTTCATTGGCCAATCAATTGCATAACAAAAGATAATCGTAAAAAAATCCAAAAAACGTCAGTGGTAGTGCTTCCCGAGGTCCAGGTGTTGCATTCTATGGTATCGAGATTTAAGACCTTTCCTTTCGAGAAAAAACAGGTACCTATACTAATCATTAAGAATTGAAACAATCCATGTTCCATGCCATTGATAATATTCCACTAATGTGATAAAGGTAGTCAACTTCTTGCTCGTTTTTTTATGGTAAAACCCTGCTTCTTTACGAATAAGATAGCAATTTAATTTTTTCATAATCTCAAAAATGAGCAAAACGACACCTTTACTTCAAACTGGGAACTTCAATGACGCGCTCTGTATATTTTTAAGTTTTTGTAAGATAATTTTATAGCTGATACGTTGTTTTTGGTAATTTATACCAGGCTGGACGAAAAAACCAAATTTCAGAATCTTGGAGACCGCGAATGGCCTAAAATCGTTATCGCTCTCCATTACTACAAAAAAAAACATTTTCTGTAGTTTACCCAATAAACAAGGATCGCAGTGGTTAGCCATGTGTTTTAAAACACTTTGTATATATTTTTCAAATAACTACAATCTTTTACGGATGAATAATAAAAAGGTTACATTTTTTTTCTATTCTGTTAATATTGTGAACCATCTGGTCGTCAGGTCAGGATTACTCACACAAAAATAAAAAATACTGAATGGTCGCGCAGTACTTCCGGGCTAATAAAATAAGTGAAACCGGCACCCCACTGTTCGTCACTTCAAAACGCCACAAAAACTGAAAGCCATTAATTTGAGAATAGTGAAAAATTTACGCGAGGGAACATTTTCAAATTGGGAACAGGCGCTCTTTACGTAGAAACAGAAATTAATTGTACATTATTTAAAAACTCCTTATGGAAAAGATTCCAAACTTTCGCCTATTATTTTCGCGAACTTGGTTTTGGTTTGTTGGGTTTCGAAATACTTATAGCAATTTTTGTTTAGTATTCACATCTAAGTTAGCGTTACGACGGTGGTACTAAAAATCAACGGTACCATTGCAGCGGTCTATTTCTTGAGGGGAGCGGTATTTTTCCGACGGGGAGAGGATCAATTCTAACCCGAAAGGGATGTCATCTACGTCAGCTAACGTAAGCTGTTTAAAATTTTTGTGAATTTTGGTTTAAAGTAACTTCGACATTCCTGAACAAATCGACCTATCAGAAACATTTGTATAAAAAGATACCGTATCGTATTTTATTCATTGATAAGGATCAGTCATTGGATTTTTATTTGCACTTAATTTTAGTATTACCATTCCCTTGGTTGGATTATATAATTTGTTATTTTGTATTCCAGGTGTATTTTCGAACAGGAGAATGTAACTGTAAATTATTATGTGCTAAAGATAAATTCTTTAGAGGCAAATTTAGCGGAACAGAAAGTAGGGATTGCATTCATTTTTTATTTTTACCTTTGTTTTTATGAGCCGGCCCAATTTTGAGAATATAGAAAAATATAAAGGAAAATGGAACTCAACCGCTTTTGTGTTTATGTTCAATCAAGCCTTATGAATATGTATAGAGTTCAGTCGAAGCAGAACGTTTGATTTTGAATTTTAGATCTTGGAATGACATAAAAGGCCAAAGTTTCGCAAGGCCATTTATTACTGATCTAGCCGTGGGAACCATAAAAATTGTCATGTTAAGATTTCTGCCAATGCCGTAGAGATTTGATTTCATTTTATGCAAGAGGGGTTTTCAACCCCTGTAAATGTAGAAAAGTAGGTATTGCCCATACACAATCCATTCTTTGACGTGTTTTATAGGATTATATAGCACCTTCCCTTACAATTTCAGAAAAATCCGCCCAAAATATAAAAATTGGATTTGCGAGACAAAATAAGCACAATTGTGCATTTCTTTATTTTGGTAGGAATGCGCCAAAAAAGGGTGTTGACCGACCTTCAATTTTATAACAACAAATTTGACTAAGGCTAAGTTTACAAACCGTTGATGACGTACATTTCAAAAACTCTCAGTCAAAAATCAACGTCTTCGAGTTTCACAGTTTTACGTAATGGATCGTCAAGATCAAAGGCTCTACACTACCTTTCATAAACAATCGCTATCACGAACCCACTTCCACCTTCTCTAAACCCGTCCGATTAAAAAAACACCTGTTTCATCACATAAACAAAATGTTATCAATTCATGACTTATTTAAAGCAATTTTTAAACAGAAAATAATGTCTTAAACAAAATAATCTCTAACAATAAGGAAAATATTTTACAATGTATTATCAATTTTAAATAAGAGCAATAATTTTGCGTTTTTATCTAATAATTGCCTTAATTTAAATTAAATAAAAGGCGGACCATCAGTGTAATCAGTCTTTATGACAAAATAATTACGCAATGCAAAGAAGAGCCCAGAAAATGTCATAGTTTTAGTGATCACTCTGTAGATTAACACCCGGTATTTAAAAGCGCTTTCAGTTGGGCGTTTCAGTGGCTTGCGGAAGGTAAAAATACTTGATTTAATTTCTAGATTTGTGTTTCCGTCTCCGTTACCGTAAAAAAAAGCTGTAACAAATTTTCCGTTTGCAGCCGTTCCCGTAGAGATTATTTTTTAAATTTATATTTTAGAGTTTCAGTTTCGTTATGAATAAGATAGTTTTAGCTTCCTATGTTAATTTAAAACGAGCATTAAAACTGCAGATTTGCGGCGGTATCAGTTTGATTAGACCTTTTGCCGGCTTAAAAAATTCGAAGAGACAATGGGAGTTAATTAGAAGCAATTTCATTTCGTAAATTTAAGTGTCGCTAAGTAAATGAGTTGCAGAAACAGTATTCGATTAAGTCGCGGGTGGTTTCATTAGAAGCGCGCTTACTAAATTGAGACTTTGGGATATGTTCCCGATTTGTATGATGACCAGACAGGTAAAGGTAAAGCCATTGTTTAGAGGGGATCTTGTTCTCTTTGGTGTTTTGCTAGTCACCTTTATAAGTACCAGTATTAGCTTTTAATACTTCCCGTAAATTTATTTTGCAGAGATGTTTTTAAATGAGATTTTGGAAGTCGAAAAAATGTCCAATCAAAAAGACCAAGAAGATTGGCACACGGAATAGAATCTGGATTAGAACGTTAGTGTTCCATCTAGCATGGAATGGAAAAATGCGGTTGTGAAGCTGTCACTGCCAGTGGGCGTAAGTTCCACATTCCCCTCTCCATGACCTATCAAGGGGTGTATTTTGAACTTCCCGTAGAAGACAGGTCTTTATAGTTCTCTGTAGATCTACGCTTTTTGAAAAGCTACATAATAGGCTTACACGTACTCGTTCAGCTGGTATTGCTCCTAAAGACAATTCGATGTACTCCTTCTCTGTTGGGTTCATGGCTTTGTAATCCGCTGGGCTGTTTTTACCAAGTACCATCCAAAGCACCGTCCACAATAACCCCGCGCCACCGTAGATGTAGAAGGCATAAGGCCAACCCAAATGAGTTCCCGATATCCAACCGGTGAAAGGCATGGAGACGACGGTACCAAGTGGTCCCCCTTAGAACAGACTATCACTTTCTCTGAAATCGTTCGTACCCTCACCTGCGTACACGAAGGTACCCAATCGCGCTCTTTCTAAAGGTGGAACCCACTTTGATAGTAGGTTGTGAATGCAGGGATAAAGAAAACCTTGGGCGAGCCCTTGGATGACTCTGCAAACAATAACAGCCCATGATCCTAACGGTGCCACAACCGGTATCAAAACGGCCATTAAGGAACCAACGATCGACGTGACCGTTATGAAGATCTTCGCCCCGAAGTTCTTCGCCAGGTGTCCCGCAATCACCTGAGGAATTACGTAACCGATGAAGAACGACGTCAGTATTATGCTTTGGTCGTCCCATTCGAATGTCTAAAAAGATACCCGATGTCGCGATCTTGTCTATGTCGAAAATATGAACTTACTAATACGTCGGGATTCGGGCTTGTATTTTTATCGGTCATTGCGACTATGCCAACGGACATGTTGACACGCATACCATACGCCAAAAGGACCGACAGGAACAGCAGTATCACCTGCGTATGCCTGGCGCCGCATCCATCTAAAACAAAGTTTAGGCAAATCGATCCTGCGTGTTGTCAGTTACATACACGTCGCCTCCATTCTCGACTGGCGTATCTTATTCAGGTCATCGTCACTATCTAAATACTTAAGCGATATCGATATATTATTGTTTCTACTCGTACTGAGACTATGATGCAGATAGGGCTGCGAGAAAAGCAAGAGACACGATAACCTTAACTAATGGAAATAAGTAGTAGAGACGATGATCTGCAATCATTAGTTTTATTTTCAGTGGACAAACCGGTCGCTACTAAATCCATCCACGGTCATAGGAGGAAGCTACTGACATGAAATGACTTACCATTCTATTTTCATAAGTCGTCAACCCGTAGAACGCCCGATAGGAACTAGGTCACAAAGTTTGGTGGAATAGACCGCGATTTTATGGACGTTTTGCCCAAACGTCGCAATTTTTAACAATAGGATGACTAGACCTTCACAATCCTTGGATTAGGTAAGTGTTTGCATAGAAAATACGGAATCCGATACTATTTTCCTTGCACGCGTAACTGGTAGCCTTGAATTTTAATAGGTATTGCTGCTCGTTAGATTTTAATTCGAAGTACGGTGACAAAAATGGTCATTATTTTGCAACGATGAGATGAATATGAGTAGAAACACCAAAAAATAAAATTACCCATGTACGCTCCCATGGAACACTCACTCCCAAAAAAACTTGCCACTATGTAAATTTGTTCCCCGTTGGTGGGACCAGACGGGGAACGCACAGGTCCAACTAGAGATACTTTAATGCGAACCCACTTCCCGGGTTCCATTGAGCAGATGAGACGACATCAAAAGGCCTCCATTCTCCCCTTCTACCAACAAATTTAACTACGGACTTAGTGGTCACCGGAGGAGATGGAAGTCTCAGCACTCTCCTTATAAACGGGATTAAAACAATAACGCATATTCTAGTAGAAACCTTTAAGGAGAGCTGCCTCCCTAAGGACTGGAAGAAGGCAGGCGTGGCTTTTACTCCTAAAGCAGGCAAGAGGCCTAAGACGAATCCAAGAGTTAATGACCTATCAGCCTAGTGTCCTTCACCCTTAAAACGATGGAGAAAGTAGTAGGGCAACCTCTTCAGGAGGAGTTCCTTAAGAAAAAAGCTCTTTACACCAACCAACACGCATACATCATAATGGACAAGAGACAATCTTGGAAGCATCACATCACGCTTGCGGTTAACAAGGCTACTACGGACTTGATGAGCTGTCGAAGCCTGATGGTGAGGAAATAAGGACTAAACCTCGTCTCCTTCTGGTTATACCTCACTGTATTTAAGCCTATCTTGGCCTACCTTGCGGTGGTTTGGTGGTCAAAGCAGAACCAATGAGTACTACACCGACAGCTGCCAGGGAAGTCTTGCTAGACCTTCTCCCTCTTCACTTAGTAGTAGTTCATATGAACTCAGCAGAACACTACCTCAAAAAACCAAGAAAATGAAAAGTGAACTAACTCTAATTAGGTGCTAATTAGGTGCTAATTAAGTGGCCTATTCCCGAATTAAATGCTCCTTTTTTTCAAAAAGTATTATATTACATGTTTTGCCAGGTGCATATGAACTCACCAGAGCACTACTTCAAAATACCAAGAAAATGAAAAGTGAACTAACTATAATTAGATGCTAATTAGGTGCTAATTAAGTGCCATATCCCCGAATTAAGTGCTCCTTTTTTTTTTAAATTATTACCTGTTCTGCCAGGTTCATAATTTAAAAAAAGAAGCATTTAATTCGGGAATAGGACACTTAATTAGCACCTAATTATAGTTAGTTCATTTTTCATTTTCTTGGTTATTTGAGGTAGTCCTCTGCTGAGTTCATATGAACCTGGCAGAACATGTTCCAAGGGTCATAGTGCGAAGGCCCAACCCAAGAAACAAAAGAAATCGTTCCTAGAATATACCCTCGCAACCCTAGAAATTTCTTCGCTATAGTCCCCTTCACCGGTTTAGACCCCGGAATATACTCCCTGAAAATTTGCCGCGTCTTCGGAATATTGGCTTAGCGAAATTCGCCCCATGAAACTTCAAGCAGATCTATCGAATCTAATAAATAGGATCAAAAAAATTTTTCCCTTTAAAACAACTCCCCTAGAAAAATGTTGGCTTTCTAGGGTCGTAAATTGTGACATAAATAAAAGGGAGCCCCGAAACCAGTTTCCATAGAATCGAATTTCACAGAACACAAAAAATTTACTACCACTAAACTGTAAAATCAAATTATTGTTGAATTAAAAAAATGAAGAAGAAAGATTGAGTAACAAAAACAATACGAAGAGCAAATCAGGGAAATAAAGACGGAGAACGATTTTTGGAAGGTTATAAACAGAGGATAAAAATAGAGCAGATGGGAGGGAAATACATTTGGAAGAATGGAGAAAAAAAAACATTTTATTAAGGTAGGTACTACAAGGAAAACAGAAAAAATAAGGTTAAATAGTCTTTCCTATTTCAGGAGATTGAAATCAGTCTTTCCGCGTTGTTTATGTGCCTCTCCCTTTTATTCAATACCCAATCGTTTTGACAGAGTAAATGGATAAATCGCGGTTAGCATGAAGTGAACTTACTTGAACGAAAGACAATGGAGAAACGATTCCTTTTCCTTTTTCAAATAAAGTGACTTGTTAACGTCTCCTGAAATTGACGTTTGCCGTCTTATCCTGAACGAACTAGGTTTTTCTGTACAATGGAAAATGGCTTCTACCCAGGCTTCTACCTCTCCGGTGTCGATTGAATCGAAGATTGAGAGGTTGAGGAAACACAAACGGGCTTCAGAGAAGGGAGGGAACGATCGAGTCTATATGTAAGGTACTACAGTGCGGTGGAAAAATTGTTTTTAAAAAAGGGCGGAAAGGTGTTTGTGTTTTGCATGGACTTAGAGGCAGCGCTTGACAGAGTGGAAAGCGAAAAGTATGGAAGATGAGGGAAGATGGGACAATAGCCAACAAGGTAAAGGGAAGCATCAAGGAACTGCACAGAGACAAGATTGAGTGTTTTGGACATGTAAAGGACTAAGGCAGGGATGCCCACTTAGCCAATCCTTATTTAATCTGGAAAAAGCATTAAGACCAAGGGCCAAGGTGGAGGGATAGCAGTAGGAAGAAGGAAGATAAAATGGTCCCTGGCTTACTCTGATGACGCAGTGATAATGGTAACAGAGGTAGAACAGATGAAAGAAATTCTGGGAAGAATGGAGAAGTGTTTGGATAGGAAAAGAATGGATCTAAAGGAACCCTACTGTGGGACACCAACAAGTCTAGCTTGAGGAATGTTAAGAAGCCAGCTCGCAAAAGAGTGGCAACGTGAATGGAAATCAGCCCCTAGACTAAGACAATCCAATAAACTGACCAGCTTGCAGATAACTAAAATCAGCTCGTTGCTAGCACTCAGTAAAAATCATACACCTTGAGACATCACCTCAACAAAATCTGAGTGGCTGAGGCACATGCCGCCTCTACTTCGAGGAGAAAGAGGCACCGGAACACATCGGCTGCTGGTGTGGCACAAAGGTCACAAGACCTGGGTGAGGCTACCTCAGCAGATCAGGGAATTGCAGACGGGGAGGATTCTCAGATTTTTTAACAAACTGCCTCTTTCGGAGTAAGACATACACTGGGGCATCCAAAATGGACCCAAGGGTCAAAGTGCGAAGGCGCGAAATGACCCAACCCGATAAAGGAAATAAAATCGTTCCCGGAATGTACCCTAGAATATTCTTCTCTATAATGCCTCTCACCTGCTTAGACTCGGAATATATTCCGTAAATTTGCTCTGCCTTGAGCTCGGCAAAATGTACGATGACCTAAACTTTCATAGCTTTCTAAGCAATTTGATGGGCTCTCGAAGGTTGTCTGTATCCTTTTGATAGTCCCCTTATGTGTTGTCAGAGCTTTTGGAGTATATATGGTTCTAGGAAGCGAAGAAAAGGTTCTTTGGACCTATACAAAAGATTCCCCATCCATAACGTCTTCTAAATCCTTCCATTGCCCTCCGAGAGTTGCTTAGACTTGCCAGAACTCCTTAGGAACGCTCTTTACAGACGTTGTGTCTTATATAGAGATTGATACATAGGCATACTTGTCCCCCACTATACACTGTGTCCACGGTAAGGAAATTTGTCATAGAGATTTCGAAAACCAGATAGGGAGATGTTCAAGTTAACCAAAAGTTGGGCGATTACAGAGTAAGTATCATGTAAAGAACACCAGAAAATTCGGATTGCTTCCGAAGAAAGTTTCGTTTCGGAGAGATCATCATCAACCTTACTTTTTATATGGTCCGCAAACACAGTACTCACTGTATTGCGTAGCATTTCTTACTACAAATACAACGATGCACGGCATCCAAAAAAAAACAAAAGTTGAATCCGCTGGTTTCAACAGGATGGTGCACCCACGCACAACGCTCTAACTGTGCCAAAATCCCTATTGGACATTTTGTGATGGTTTTTTCTTTGAGCTGTTGGCCAAGTGTGGGAGTAGATCGGAGTATGATTTTTGCTCATAGTGTAAATTTTGATAATTGCGTCGTCGTTCGGTTTCTGGACCTGTTCGTCAGTGTAGATGGAAAGCTGGCGACGGTTGAGCCCGTTCGAAAATTGTGCGCTGGTAAAAAATTGGTTTACATTAAGGCGTCCGTTTGGTTTGGTTTACGGAAAATAATTGGAAGATTAAAATTAATATCTATCTCCGATGCAGCTTGAGCACAGAATTTGCATCATACGGCGAGAATTGGCACAAAATGAGCACAAAATTATAGTATGTCGATGGATTGAATATCTTCATGTGGCACCTCAAACTTCACAGAGCTGAGATTGGCTTGATGCCGCTTGTCGGATTTGTACCACGCGGCAAGTTTGAGCAACTCCAACGCCTTCTTAGTGGTACAATTGAGATGCCACACTTTTAGTGTTTAACACGTGTTCTGGTCTAAGAAGTCACACTTGAAGCTTGAAGCTTCAACCTTGAAGGTAGGAGTTAAAATTGTATCCTTGAAGCCCCAATTATGAGCTCTAATTATGAAATGAAATGCTTATAATTCGAAAAATTAAATGTATCTTAGACTTGATATCTCTTGGTGTTGACAATCTATAATCACCTCCTCCTCAACGAACTTCAAAAAAGGTAACAAACCCTAAGGTCCAGAGAGAGAGAGATACCCCTTACGAAGTTCATTTTGGTTACAGTACAACTAAAAGATCTCTTAAAATAGCACAGAAAATGTCTCCAATTAACTGAACAATACTTGAAGTAATTATTTTTTGATAAACCACACCAAAAACAAGCAACTTGAAGTTTGACTAAGTACACATGCTTGGCCATTTCAGTGAAGTTATGCTGGAGATTAGAAAAGTAGACGTGATTTTGTGTCGTCACTCAACTACCTACTTAATTACTCGTAGTTGAAAACCACTGATAAATAAAAAATAATAAACGGGTTCACCGTCCAAAACCTCATTTATTCCATTTGCCAATACGCAACACCGTTTCCGGGATATTCGTATCATTTGAGGCTTTGACCCCAACGACGGGTTTTGCTTTGGTTGTCTACTAAGTGAGTGAATTGCGACACTATACGTGTATATCCGCAACTGAATGTCTAACGCAAGCAGGAAATTTCTACTCGTTGATTGTGCATTTTCTACGCTTTGCATAAAAAATGAGTTAGCGTCTAACTCTTCAGTTATAGTGACTCTATCATCTGGATAACCGATACGCTTTATCAGAATCAGCTAAAGTGGAGCATCACGAAAAATAGGCCGTCACTTACTACAAGATATTAAAGAATGAAAGACGAAGTGAATGTGGAACTCCACGTAGAACGGGAACCATGCTTTAAGCCACCACGTAAGCCCATTTCCAAGAAATGTTAATTAAGTCTTTTTTAGGTGGTTGGGGTACTCGCCACTCACAAATGCTGTTACTCTTTTTACTACCGTTACTGGCGTACGGAATGAGAGTCAACATGTCCGTCGGAATAGTCGCAATGACCGATCCAGAGGCGAGCCTAAATCCCGATGTTCCCGTAAGCGATTGCCACCTCTCCCTTTCTCATTCAACCCGTGTTTGTAGACGTACGAGTGGAGCGACCAAGGTGTCATACTCTCATCGTTTTTCATGGGATACTTCATTCCGCAAGCTCCTGCGGGTATCTTGGCGAAAAACTACGGCCCTAAATCGATAATAGCGGGGTCGTTCGCGGTAAATTCGCTGATGGTAGTACTGGTACCGATCGTAGCGCCGCTGGGTTCGTGGGCCGTTATCGTTTGCAGAGCGTTGCAGGGAGTGGGGCAGGGATTCATCTACCCTTGCATACACCAGACGCTTTCGAAGTGGGCGCCCCCTTTAGAAAGAGCTCGGTTGGTTACGTTCGTTTATTCAGGTAAGACTGTATTTCCTGCCGGAGTAACAAAATTGAGGGTTCCACTTCTAGGAGCCAACTTGGGCACGGTGATTTCGATGAGCTTTACTGGGTGGATATCGGAGACGTGGGTCGGTTGGCCTTGGGCTTTCTACGTTTACGGTGCTGCGGGTTTACTGTGGACTGGAATTTGGATTGTCTTCGGACGAAGTAGCCCAGCAGAGCATGCGACCATTGATTCCCTGGAGAGGAAGTACATTGAGGTTTCATTGAGGGAGATTGAATGCGCGGTATGTAGGAGTCGATGAGATTCACGTAAATTGCGACATTTTTAGCGCTCTCCTCCGACTCCTTGGAAGGCCATCTTTACCTCTATGCCCTTTTGGGCCGTTCTCATCTCTCAATTTGGACAAGGGTGGGGTTTCACGATACTAATTACAAACATTCCAACTTACATGAGTAATGTTTTGGGATTTGACATAAAAAAGGTAAAAATACTCTCAGTCGACAACTACCTGATCCACTTATAGAACGGGGTACTCTCAGCTGGGCCGTACTTTGCATTTTGGATTTTTAGTCTTCTATCGGGGGTGATTAGCGACTATGTAGTGTCTCGGGAGTACGTAACAGTGGGATTTGCGAGGAAATTCGCGAACACAATAGGTAAGCTTCCCCTCATTGAATCGTCGAACAAATCAGATTTTGTAGCACTCTGCGTTCCTGGTATTGGTTTAATAGTGCTTGGTCTAATTGGTAACGCCCAGTGGGACATAACTGATGCGGCCGTAATTCTCTTATTCATATCGGTCGGATTTAATGGTAGTTCCACGTGCGGATCCCACATGAACCACATCGATCTGTCTACCGTCCATTCAGGAACGCTTATGGGGATTGCTAACGGAGTTACGAACTTCTTGGGCCTCTTCGCACCTCTACTACTACAATTTATCGTCACAGACGAGGTTAGATACTTCCAAGGGAGAAAATGCACTAATTAGGGTTGACTTGCAGAAAGACGCACTTCAATGGGCTACCGTCTTCTACATAACCTCGGCGATTTATTTTATTGGAAACACGGTTTTCGTCGTATTCGGCTCTGGAGAAACGCAACCGTGGAATAATGTCGAGAAACGTAGAGGAAATAGTTGACTATTTGTAGACTTTTGTAAAATAAAGTTACGCGTGTAATCATTTGTTAATAATTCTGCGTTCTGGATTCAGAGAAGAGGGTGAGCAGATATATATGAACGGCTGGGCCGCATACTAAGAACCAATTTGATATCTTCTGAAGGTTACCCACTCCAATGTCATTACTCCAGCTACCCCACCTACGATTGGGAATAGAGAAGATAGGCGGGGGATCGTCCTTTGCAATGTCTGACCAGGAGTCTTCCAAACATGATAGGATGTTATAAATTTTTGTTATTTGGAAGAAATGTCCGCAAAGGGAATTCACGAAAGGATACCCGCGATTCAACCCCTTCAGTTTGTACTAGGTGACGCACACTTTATACAGGGTTGAGCACCGCTGATACTTAAGGCGACGCGCACCTTCTCACTTAGGTGACTCACAGTATACACTGCTAACAGGAGGAGATCCTAACAAAAATATGCTACCGAAGAACCGAGTGGGGTATCGATCATTACAAATGTGAATGGACTTGCTAAATGCCTTCTTCTTCGGATAATTGCGATTTTCTTGGTCAACCTCCCCTTCGTATCGGGACTGATGTTGTCAAGATCGCAAGCGTGTCCCTGGAACGAAGGAGACGTAGTATCAACCTAGGGGTTCTACCGAATGCTCCTTATGTCGGCGGATTTTATTCCGCTTTCTTGGGTCGTAAGGAGGTGGGCTGTAACATCGGGGATGAAGTCGTACGATAGAACCTTATGGCAGGCAGGTGGTTGGGCCAATCTGAGTGGTTACCCTTCACCAGAGTTACTATTTGTGTATTCAGGTCTCTGTTTTTCACTTCTATAGGGTTGGCTGGGGATGGTGCACCGGGATAAAAGGTGGCGTAATTCTACTCACCTGATGGCGATGGCTTCCACTATCAAAATGCATTGTTCGCCTGTGAGCGCTTCAGTTAACGATCTATGGATAGTTCCTAAAATCTTCGCGTGGGTGTAGGGGTTTGTAGTAATCCTGCTGGTTTCTGGTTGGAGGGCTTGTAGCGCTGGCAGTCCGCTCGATTCTTCACATATTCTGTAATTTGTTGTCTCATTCCTGTCCAAAAGCAGCGGGAGGCGAGTCGTTGCGGTTTGCCTGCCGATGGGATGTCGTGGTTTTCTTGTTGTGGTACCGCAAGCTGAGACTCTTCTTTGTCCTGGTCGTACGCTGGACACCTTGCGGCATGAACTACTTTTTGGCTGTCTACTTTATTCGTGAGGGAAGCCGGACCAGGCAGCACTTAGGCACACCTATAGCCTATGACACCAATCCCTTTCTTTCGAAAGCGGGTTCACAGACGGTTCTTCTCAATAGACGAAAGGGCACTGTTTAGTTAAGTTACTTCACTATTCTCGCTTGCAGACTTGCCAATGAGCTGATGTCTGTGTCTGATCAAGGCATTATAGTGACAGACCACAGGCTCGGTAATTTCATCCACCTCGCCACAGAATCTGCACAAGCCCAATATCACGCAGGTGACTGGTGAGGACACCGGTGATTTTCCTAATTATAGTTAGTTTTAGAAGCTTAAAGGACCCAGATTTGCCAAGGAGCTCTATTAACAAGGCCCTGGACTGTCTGAATCCGGTTGCTCGTTGCCACTCAGCCTGGACTTGACCAGTCACTTAATTTTTAATTCTGGACCTGGCAACGGAGGAGCAGCTCCTAGGGTAGGCGCAGATCCATCTTACGATTGACCTATCAATGCCAAAGCCCGCTCCCAGAGCTACTTCCCAACCAGACGTTCCCGTATGCACACGAGGCTGTGAATAGCCGTCACTGTAGACATACGAGCCCTAAGCATATGAGAATGGAATGTGGTGGTTCAAGGACCACCACCCCATTCCTTATGTATGCATGCTTCTCCCCCGTTTTTAGAAGAAACGATGATAGGCTTGCTGTGGGGCGTGGTCCAGTCCAGTCGGTCATGAGCATTCGCGAGAACCGAAGGGTGGTTTTTCGGCACGTAAAAACTATATACAACAATGTACTTCTGGTAGTACTTGGGATCCCGATATTTACAATGGGTCGAATTCTTGACGAGATAGAGACACAGACTTCTGGTTACACCCAATTTATTACATACGAAACTTGTCCAGGACGTGTGGGATCTTCGCGACGATGATGGTATCGTCTTGGTCGGTGTTGTTTCTGCTGGCCTTTTCTTCTTCCTACATTCCTCCTTTGTGTGTCCCGTAGCTCGCAGAACACTCATCGTGGGCTGTGGTGGGGTGCTTGGTCTGTTGAAGATCGACTTCCTAGGTTTTCCGTAACTTTTGCTAGAGTGAAGGTTGCGGGAGCGGCGCGGGGTATCTGATTTCGCTTTAAGCTGCATCCTCGATCCGCGAGATGAGGGCTCTCCTTTCCGCCTTTTAAGACTGAAAGGTTCTCTCGAAGATTTCGCGTAGTATCTGCTGCGACGGTTTGGTAGCTCCAAATTCCTTCAACCAACTCCTTTAGGTGCTTTGAACGCATGCCCAAATCAGAAACAAATCTTATAAAGCGATAGAAACCTATATTCTGAAGAACCCTAAACGTCAATAGACTATATATTATATTCTTTGGTGCTTCCTGGAGACATCTTGAGCACTGCAAACACTAGAAGGCACTCTCAGGCGTTCCGTAACATTCCTCGTATCCGTTACATTGCTTTATATGACACTTCCAAAAGTTCATTTTCACTTTGTCTTTCGATAACCCCCTAGGTATATCACATCTGAACTTTAAATGCCTATATAGTTTTAGGAAGTGCCCAGAAGGTTCTTGAAAACTCTAAAGAAAAAATTTAAAACATTCTTGGAAAGCGCTAGAAGGCTCATGTATACTTTTTAAACGTTTCTTATAGCAATTGAAAGCTGTACGATTCTCTCAGGTGAACTCGTATGCTAGACAATGAGTGTGCGGACAATTCGCACCCGGACAATTCGCACTCGGATAATTCGCACCCGTACATTTCGCTCCCAGGATATTTCGCACCCTCGACATTTCCCTCTCGGATAATTCGCACCCGAACCATTCGCACTCGAAAAATTCGCTCCCGGATAATTCGCACCCGGACATTTCGCTCCCAGGATATTTCGCACCCTGGACATTTCGCCTCCCGGATAATTCGCACTTGAATAATTCGCACTCGAAAAATTCGTTCCCGAATAATAATTCACACCCGGATAATTCTGTAAATCTTTGGTTTATTAAAATTAAATATTTTTAAGAGGCTACTAGACGATTGCCTTTACAGAATGTATGCAGTAGTGCACATCTTGGTAAACATCTACTTCATGGAAAAATGTTTCAAATCATAGTTATTTGGTCTTTCATTTTCAACACATCGCGATTATTAAGTATTTCCATTACTTAAATATAATCACGCTGGTTTTTTTTTAAGTTATATGAAGAGTCTGATATAGTTAAATCCTGTAATTTAAGAACATAATTTTTATCTATTGCGCTTTCGTTTTGAGAAAATAAGAATAGGTAACTGAAACGTCTTTTGTGGAGTAATTAAATACCAAATAGTTATACCTAGTTATAGTACCTATATCTACAATATTATGTGTAATATTCGCTACTTTTAAGACGCTCTTAATATTAAAACAGAATCAACATATAATACCGTACACAAACAAAGTGATAAGTCTAAAGTTAAAAATATTTACATTATAAGATCAAGATGAAAATAGAAAAAGGAAGTAATTTTAACGCTCCCTTACATAAAGATTTCTTAATGAAGACACATAAAAAATTGTTCTTTATTTCTTTAGTTGAAAAGGGTGGCAAAGGAAATGAATTAAATTTATTTTAGACAAAACGAGTATGTAGAAATGACAATAGAACAATGCATTTCATAGATGGCACTAAATTTGGATAACTAATTAAGATAATATTATAATTAAAGGTAAATTTGAAAAGATCCCGATAACACAAATTGCACTTCATAAAGAAACAATAAGAGAAATATCGTAATCCTTTCTATTATTTCTGGAAGATGAATAGGGTTTATTACAAGGTAAAAGTAATTAGGTCCGAAAAATCAGGTTTAAAGTACGTATCACCACAACTGATTAGAACTTTAACACCTATAAATTATCTTCATTCTTGAACGTTTGACAGAGTGGTATTTTAAAATCTATCTGAGGACGGGTTTTGATTTTGTGTATACTTTTTTTTAATTTTAAAAAATTTTATTTCTGGTGGTAGTGTTGTGGTGGTGTTCAGAAAAGGTAAGTTTCCAGTTTTTTTAGAACCAGTTTTACGTTTCTTTGACCACATATGGCTATATCTTGATTATTGGTGACTGAGTAAAATTACACTAACTGCTTATTTTTTGCGTTATCTTTGCTACAACTATGGTAGTGAATGAACTTAAAAGTTTCTTTTTGATTTTCTTACTCTTCTTTATTTTATAGTTTGAAGAGATACCTACATGGAATAATTCTGGCAATTTTTTAAGAGATTGTTATTAATCAAAACAGTAAAGCTTTTAAAAATCTCGAAACGATTTAGGAACAGGTCGATATTGATGATTTTTTCTTTTAAATGTGTAATTATTAAGTACCTACATACTTCCTTTTTAATTTTTGTATGGCAGTACTAAAACAAAACCCTTAGCATTGGTAATTGCGCAACAAGGAAGATAGGACGTCATTGGAAAGGCTTTCCTTCTCTGAATTTGGTGAGACTATAATTTTTTAGATTTGATATTTTCGAAATATTTTTTTTTTTTTATTTATTTATTTAATTTGTGTGCCTCGACTACTAGTGGCCATTGGCACGTCTACAAGTACCTTTACTTACAATGCACCTATTCTAATAATATTTCGCTTATTAGACTATTATATAAAGTTGTACAAGTTTGTATCTCTTAGAAAGTTTAGTAGGTCTTTTTTAAGGTCCATTCCAATATGGTACTTGCTTCGGATTTCCAGTTGCAGTGGACACTGTAAGAGGAAGTGGTTCACGGACAAAGGCTCGTTGCATTCACAATATGGAGGGTCTTGATTTTCAAAAAGATATCCAT